TTGACATTTAATATGGAATATTTTTTTCCAAATTATTTTTCGTCAGTTTTTCCTATTTTGCTGACTTATAAATGAATATAAGGATTAAAGTGGCGTTTTAATAACTTTTATTTATCTCTTTGATGTCATTGTGACATCAGTTCATCAACTGAATTCGCCAGTGAAGCAAACAAAAATGCATTGCCTATTTTAGGTCATACGGCAACCATTGAAAGCAATGTTTTGGATCTCTATATTTTCCAAATTATCGTCTTTAAAAGAGTTATACGCCCAACAAAAGACCCTCATGTCAGTGTCTTGTCACAGCAACGATGGCTGTTACACCTGACCTCATCTGGCTGCTACCAGAGCTTTCAAGCGGCAAGGCATTCCTTAGGATAGGTTTTTAGAGTTTAATCTGGAAAAAAATACCAGGCAACGGTCAAAACTTGTCCAGTTTGGTTCAGTTTTGTTGTAGGACATGCAGGCCGTTGATTCGGAGAGTTATACCTACCCACGAATTGTCTATGTGGTTCAAATATGGCGATTTTGATGACCAATGTATCTGCTCAATTCCTCGGCTCTGTAAGTTATCTGCTATTAAAAGTGCTCTGTGTGAACGGACAATCTCATCGTGCAACCTAAAATTGTTCCTAAGGTGCCCCCTATCAAATGATAGTCAAATGGTTCCCACATTATTCCTTTATTTCATCTGGTTTAGGTTTTTATCAATGACTACCATTGCTGTTTTGGCACCAATGTGGTATTCACTCCAAATACTGACGCTGTCAATGACCCTAGTCACTTCAGAAGCGGCACATGACTTGTCGTAGGCCTCTTCTGGATGTCTGTAAACTCTGTTTGGACCAGTTAAGCGGTACAGGTGAAATCTGACCTCAATAAAGAAAGCCACGCGGTTTCAGTGTTCTACCCAGAAACGGTCATGGTCCTCAATTCATTAGAGAAACAAACGACACTTTTTTACCGTTTACAGTGGCTTCCTCAGAGGTCGTTTGGTATCCTAACCTGCTAAATCCAGTTTGGTATTCGCTAAGAGCCTTGAAAAACGCGTTTTGGTCACAATTTGCCCCTCATTCTGAACGGACTGGGTGGATTTTATTCAGTCGAGCAGCATATCCTGAAGGACACTGAGTCCTGTACCCTGGTGGTAAGACGGCGATACATTGGCCGTGGTCTCTGTGTAGGTAAATCAGTCTGGGTATAACTCCATAAAACTGTGCTGACCATTTCGTTTGACACAATAATCTGTCTGGCAATGTCTGTCTTTTTCGCGCCATTCTGTCACAGATTAACAATTTTGTAAAACATTGTTTAACTCATTTTAAGCACTGCAAAACTGACCGCTTGCATGCAACATTTCAAATTATTCTTTGCAGTAGTTACCGACATATGGATACTTTTTTAACAGCACCATGCTTCGCCAAAGCCAAGCGTTGGCTATCCCAAAGGGGCACTACCCAATTAAAACACTGCATATTACACAATGCAGCAGTGCACCAGACTTGGTAGTCAGTTAATTGGTAGCGACACACTTGACTTCACACTTCTCCAGTCAGATATTTTATGTGAGATCTGAGTTTTATGAAAAAAGAACGCATTTTTACCAAGGTATACCTTTGAAACTGAAATATTCTATGTGAAATGTTAAGTCTGTATATGAGCGTTTATTTGATATATTAAGTGTATAAACGATTTTTCATCAACCTTAAAAAGTACATATCCCAAGATGGCTGTAGTGCGCCATGAGTTTGTGCCAGTGATATAATTAACTAATCCCCATCCTAATTAACTCATCGACTGAGTTTTAAAGGCCTACTGTGCTCTAGGAACACATAGCGTTCACTGCTTTTTTTACAGTATAAAAACTATAAATCGACGTCAAAAAATTGTTCTTTTTAAGTTTTAGAGAGAAAAGATGAGATTTAGATGAGAAAATTCTGATTGGTCAGTTTCTAGTGACGTAACCTGGGTAGTAGCTTCCCACAGCTGTACTAGTAATAGTATATACTATGCAGTAGGTGACTAAACATCCAGGTGTCAGAAAAACAAAA